TTTATCTAATGCATATAACCATTGACTACAAATCAAATGGATGGTGGTCTATAGAAAAAAGAGGAATGGCTGTTTTACAGAGAGCCAGCAAATTACGCGCCAATTTATGATATTTGATTGCCTCTCACAAGGGAGCAGCTGAGTCAGCAGCATAGATAAACCTGAGAGGATATTTTTGAGTTTTTCTCCACTCATTCTTTAAAATTTTTTTTTTTAGAGATAGATATTATGGTATTGCTATTTTTCGAGATTTAACCCTATAGCCTGGATGAGGGGGGGGGGGGGGGGGGGGGGGGGGGGGGGGGGGGGAAGGGGGACTAATTTGGCCCCCCCTTAAAACATTTTTCACAATAACTATTTAAAGCGAAGACATTCTGCGCTGAAATTTCATGACTTTTTTCCTTCACATCTCGCGCAACAACGCCCGGGCATGCAGTTCCTATGCTACACATAATTTTGTACATGTACTTGCACATCGGACCCAAAATAGCTCAAAAACGTGGTTTCTTGTAGAATTTCAATACAAATTGTGTATTAGCTAATATTTTTAAATGTATTATTATATCTGCTTTCACAGATTGAAATCTATTTCGTTTATGCTAGTTATGATCGCATAAGTGTTGCCAACAAATTTCATTGAAAAAACAATAAAAATGAAAAGGTCGAAAAACAGAGAAATTAAAAAAACAATGAAATACATAACTTAATTTTGATACTGGATTTTTTTTTAAAGTACGCTTGTTAAGAATAATACATAGAGTGTCTAGATCAAAAGAACAGCACATTTCGAGCTGTTTTGAGTGATTTAGAGCAAAAAAGGTCTAATTTCATGCTTAAATTAGCATAATTAGCATAATCGATTAAACAAAATATTTTTCAGAGAGATTAATATACGATTTTGGAGATTATGTTGCAGGTGACGATTTCATCACGATCAGGCAGTTGAGGGGCGAGATCTCGGGGGGGGGGGGGGGGCTAAATTAGCACCCCCCCCCCCCCCCCCCCCCCCCCCCCCATGCACTGCATAGCCCGGGCTATATAGGGTTTTAAAAAAATATATATATGACCTTTCAAGAGATTAGGTCATAGTATCATTAGATAAAACGATTATTATTCCAAGAATTTGCCACTATATGTTTATATAACTGGATGAAGGTAATAACAACCTATCTAGCTGGCTGATCATAAACTTTGATATTTTAGCACACTGTTTCTTACATCAGGGCTATAATACATTTCCTTTGTGTGTTTTAACAGAAGATTCAACAGTGAGATGGCCTATATGCGATCTACTGATAATGGCCAAACAACCAACTGACAGACCACAGCTTGAGGAGCATGCTTGCAACACAGAGGATGAAACATTCAGACAGGTACATGTTTCATTAATATGTCCCTTAATTAAGACAAAGATATTGTGAACCATATTTAGTATTAAATGTATTTTAATCGTTATTTACAACTTGAGTTGCTTTCTAAAAAAAAAAAATGTAAATCATCTACAATGCTGCATGACTAACACACTCAGCTTAATTGCATCTTGAGTGCAACATTATTCCCTAACAGAATTTACACTCTGTATAGTCTTCACACAAGATCTAGCCCCTAATATATATACATGTAAGCCCTTGCATAATTCCAGTCATTACAGTAATTACAAGTCATGCCGAGTATTTTGGGGTCAGGTCATGTCAGGTAAAGATTAGCTTTGGGTACTAGTGATTGCTATACGCTTGTGCATTAGTTGCAAAAGTCTTCCCAAATTTTTGTTGTTTTTGTTGTTTCTTGTTTTTTTTTTTTCTTAAACATCAATGTGAGCACCTCAAAAAATTGTAGTTATCTGCATTTACGTAATCGTAGGTATCGCACATCTGCATTTCTGCATTGAATTGCTACAATACACAGACAATGGGAAAATCGTCAATTTGCACGTTACCCGATGGTCAAAACTTTTTATATTTGGCATCAAAAGATGCGCAAGACTCTATGCTATAAAGTCATGAAAGCTCCCGGCACAAAAAAAAAAATATCCTTAAACATATCCCGGTGAACGTACAGCCCTTTTAGGGTTAATTGAAAATCAAAAAATACAAAAATAGTAGAAGTTTCAACAATATTTTCTGATTTTATAAAAGAAAATTATTTATTAGGTTTCAGAAAGAATTACTATAATAATATGTTTATATGTTGTAAATAAAGTGTACATAAGGAATTGTCTTGAATCACTGATAATGTATGTAGTGGCACTACACTATTCGTTTTCAATTCACTTTCTTATTTTATTTATTTTACTTTCTTTTTCTTTTTGTTAGGTTCACATAGGACCCAAAGTAAAGGAACAGAGGACAGAAGTTAGGGAGAGAGACATGGTGGCAACATATCTCCCAGAGTACTCGACACACTGGCCTCAAGTTGGCTGCATTCGCAGTGTACATGAAGACAAGTCCCTACAGATCGAGTGGTACACAGGAACCTTGACTTCTAAGTGGAAGGAGGTAAAGGTACCAGTCAAAGGACAAAAGGGCAGGAAACAGCTTTGGGTTGAGACTATTGATTCTAGTTCTGTGATTCTCCCTCCTTTCTCACTGACTGCTGGAGAAAAACTTCCTCTTCAAACAGTGAATGGTTTGAGAGAGAAGCACAGTAGCTATTTTCAGTAGCTTTGTAGATCCTAGCTTAATTGGGCCATTGTAATTGCCTTAGCTATCAAATAATTGAGCAAAATAGTAGGCCTATTGGTTTCAATAAAATTGGAGTAATATTTTTGGGGGTGGGGGCTGTGAAGCACAAGTGGAGGAGCTTTTTAATTTCACCAGAGGGTCCTTAGTACAAATCTTAGTTGCATGAGATTTACAATCTATATGATTTAAACAGATGTAATTTTATCTTTTTTAATATTACTGTAATATTTTGAATTGAAAACTTACAAGCTTATTCCGCTGCCAGACATGGCCGGATCAGAAAATGTACAAGTAACGGATGGTACTTTTGTTTAATCCGTCATGCGGCTGTCACACTTGAGGAACGGATGTCGTTTTTTGGCATCGGTTGATATCCGTTAAAATGGTTTCATGTCCTTTTTGTCTCGCCTGCGTAGCAGGAGCCAGGCATAGGCGTCACTTTTTACACCGGCGGTGTCGGCGTCAACAATTATGTTGTACACCCAATAACTTTCTATATCTTCGAGCTAGGATCACCAAATTCTTACCAGTGGTACATTTCTTGAAGACTCAGGTCAAGTTCGAATATGGGTCATGGTCGACAAAGTTCAAAGGTCAAAAGGTCAATGAACTTAATATACAAAGCTGTACTTATGCTGTACACACAATAACTCTCCACAGCTTTGAAGTAGAATCGTGAAATTCATACCAGTGGTACATCTCTTGAAGACTCAGATCAAGTTTGAATATGGGCGATATCCGACAAAGGTGAAAGGTCAAAAGTTGTTGTTGTTGTTTTCCAGTTTTTACGGCACTGTCAAAAAGTCTATGAACTTTTTATTAAAAGCATAGTACACACAATAACTTTCCATAGTTTTGATCAAGGATTGCCAAATTCACACCAGTGGTACATCTCTTGTAGACTCGGGTCAAGTTCGAATATGGGTCACTCGTGTTCAACAAAGTCCAAAGGTTAAAAGGTCATTGAACTTAACATACAAAGCTGTATACACACAATAACTTTCCACAGCTTTGAAGTAGGATCGCCAAATTCATACCAGTGGTACATCTCCTGTCTGGTAAAAACTTATACGATTCAGAGAACAAGTGTCATGTATAAACTTATACAATTTAGAGAAGAAGTGCCATGTATAAACTTATACGCTTTAGAGAACAAGTGTCATGTATAAACTTATACGCTTTAGAGAAGAAGTGCCTTGTATAAACTTATACGCTTTAGAGAACAAGTGTCATGTATAAACTTATACGATTCAGATAACAAGTGTCATGTATAAATTTATACGATTCAGAGAATAAGTGTCATGAATAAACTTATACGCTTTAGAGAACAAGTGTCTCGTATAAATCTATACGATTCAGAGAACAAGTGTCATGTATAAATTTATACGCTTTAGAGAACAAGTGACATGTATAAATTTATACGATTCAGAGAACAAGTGTTATGTATAAACTTATACGCTTTAGAGAACAAGTGTCATGTATAAATTTATACGATTCAGAGAACAAGTGTCATGTATAAATTTATACGATTCAGAGAACAAGTGTTATGTATAAACTTATACGCTTTAGAGAACAAGTGTCATGTATAAATTTATACGATTCAGAGAACAAGTGTCATGTATAAATTTATACGCTTTAGAGAACAAGTGTCATGTATAAATTTATACGATTCAGAGAACAAGTGTCATGTATAAATTTATACGCTTTAGAGAACAAGTGTCATGTATAAATTTATACGCTTTAGAGAACAAGTGTCATGTATAAACTTATACGCTTTAGAGAACAAGTGTCATGTATAAATTTATACGATTCAGAGAACAAGTGTCATGTATAAACTTATACGCTTTAGAGAACAAGTGTCATGTATAAACTTATACGATTCAGATAACAAGTGTCATGTATAAACTTACATTAATTCATTGAATTAATCAATATATATGTATTTGAATTTTGATACAGTATACATGTACATGTAACATATATTGATGGACAAATAAAGGATACCAATGAATATTCATTGGTTTTATTTAATTGGAATCAGTTGTGTAATGCAGTTCAATTTAATGCTCTGAAAACAGTGACTAAGTTAGAGTTTGCAGAGAGTGTTGACATGTGTTAATGAAAAGAAGCTTGATTCATTATTTTTGTAAACCTTTCTTTCCACCTGATATTAACAATTACACATTTTTTGCAAGTTATCTTTAGCTTTTTGATAAACATAAGGCATCAATTATATTGGAAAAATAAAGAAAATATGTGAAATTGGCAGTCCATAATATGCTTTTTTTGTCCAGATTGGAATAAATTATTGTTAATCTACATAATAATAAAGAGCGTGAACACCATTAATCTTATACAATATTACAATTTAAAAATTTGAGTTAAAAAGGAAAGATAGATGAAAAGATCCAGAAAGGTGGTTGGACAGAAGAGAAAGAGAGGGAGAGAGAGAGAAGGAGGGGGAGAACGTGAAGGGAGAAAGATAGAAAGAAAGGGAAAAACAATTTTGTACATACTGATAACAAAACATAGATACCTTGCAAAAAAAATATAAATATTATAAGGTGAACACTAGAAATATAAATATGCATCGTATACTATTTGTCATAATTTTTTTAAATTTTATAACAGGTTTAAAACAGAAGCTATACGCATTTAGCTGACAAGACAGTTGCTCATCACATTGATTTAGACGAAATGAATAAGGCAAATTTCTATCCATTATGCATCAGATTTCAATCAGAGAATAAGCCATAACATTAAACATTCAATGACATTTATAATGAGAAATTGTGATCAAGTATGAAAACTGTGCCATAGGAAAATTTGTAGGCATACGCCCACTTCTAACGTTGTTAAATTTGCAGATCAGGATTTTAAGAGGTGCTAGGTATTTCACTCTGGGCGGACAAAATAACTGCATACAACAAGATAATAGAGCTTGGGAGAGAATAAGCAGAACATTTGGTACACATTTCCAGGGTTACATGATGTGTTTTATAGGAAAGGAATTTTTAAAAAAGACAATGATATGTGGCCAAACCTTGAACAGACTTAATAACCCAAATACCCGCAGTACTTTTAGAACAATAATAATATTAACAATTGATATCATTTGTAAATCTCAGTGCCTAATTTACGATTAGACAATGGACATCGTACTTTATTTTAGACATAATGTATTCCTTTAAATTTGGGGAAAATGTCGATTATCGGTTTTGCTGAAAACATAAAATAAGAACACTTGAACACATTTAGGGCCTACCTTATGTTAATTTGTTTTACCATTTTAACAATGCAGCAAAACTTAAAGTTCATCAAGCCAAAATACATCTTAATTCTATAGGCCCTATCATTATGTACATTTTACGAAAAAGTATTATCCATGACAGACCAGTTTAAGCTGATTTCATACATGTTTAATTTATTTTTTTCTCTGTCATTTGTCTGTGGTAACTAGCTGTTCGCTACTTTCAAGAAGAGCTACGCATATCCTTCGTAGCCTTAAGAGACCAGTAAGATTGAGATTACTACAACTACAATACTGTTGTATTTGCCTAAAAATACTAAGACTCCTCAATCTTACGTCTCAAATATAGAAAATTAGAAAAAGGTTGCTCTTCTAGTACAAATATGTTTGATCACGTTAGGGTTTTCTCGACCAATCCATGAACAGAATTTTGTATGATGGATAAGTTTTAACTGTCCTTTATTTTCCCTCTCTCCGAATTTTATATTATTTACATTTTCTTTAGAGATAACGTGTTAATTTGAACAGGTCGGTGAGATTTTAAGCGGTCTACAATCCAGTGGGGTTTGTCAGATTACAGCCGACTGCAGCTGGACCGATCCAGAAGCCTATATCTTGACTCTTTGTAAGGTTTAATCCAAGATAGATGCCGAGACCAGTGGATATGAGAGAAGATGTCATATTACCTGAAAACATCTTATTTATATCTTTGACGTAAATAATGACAGCCTTCCAGTACTTCTTGTACTTGTGTTCCCTGCAATGTGTGATGTCTTCCTTTAAGTACCTCCAGATATGATCCATGTTGAGGCCACCTAGGGCAAAGTAAGGCACAGCGATGAAGGTGATCTTCTGTGTGGTGACCAGGGCATTGAGAAAGTAAATGGTTCGGAGAACGTCGGGGGAAAGATCCTTTTGGCTGAACACCAAGTAATTCCATGTGATGTGAGAAGTCAGTCCCCATGTGGAAACCACAATGGTGAACGCCATCCACGCCCCGATTTGCTGCCGGAGTATCTTATACTGTATGCTGAAGTGACGGATCCGACTGAGCACTGCATCGACATTCGGGTACGGCGCCTGCTCCATGGCGTAGCGAAATATCTGGTGTGCTTCGATTTCGAATGATCTGCGCTCCAGGTATATGATATAACAAAAGCATCCGTAGATGATCGACCCAAGAAGTGAATTCCAGTGACCTACTTCACCATGGATGCTTTCGCTCTTACAGACTCGAAGGAAGTAGTCGTACAAGATTCGAAAGCATCCCGTCATCGTGGGCCATGCCAGGATGCACAAGAAAGGAAACCATGACAGAATCTTCGCTTCGGAGCGCCCTCTACGTATGATGTTGATACGACATGCGATGAAAGCTCTAGACATCGTCGAAACTCTCCGTTGGCTCCGACTGCAGGTCATAATGTTTTTCATACGCGTGTAGAGACACCAGAAAGGTACGACCATGAGCTGGACGATGAATGTGGTATACGTGACGAAATGGAGAGCGTACTCCTTGACGCCCCAGTAAGATCGCAAATACGCCTCCAGGTCGAAAATCATCATGCCACAAGAAAGGAAGAGGTATATGATCCCGAGCACGTCTAAAAAACAGCATCCTGAAGAAGAAGAAGAAGAAGAAGAAGAAGAAGAAGAATTTAAAAACAAAAGTGAGATCGGTACATCATATATCACATATATCACATCTGCTGATTTGACACAAAAGATACTCAACAAAATATTCGATGTTAGGATCTGCAGAAAAAGTAACGTTTATCATCATAAAGACATGAAGCCTCCTCATATTCAACATGACTGAGCTTTTAATATCATTCATTTTCTTTATACGATAAGCAATATGTTTCTAATTTAGCATGGTATAATTATGCAACGTACATGGCATAATTAGAAAGATTTATATTTGCTTTTTGAACATCTGTACGTTGGCTAGTCTTATATTAATTTTTTCTAAGCTAAATTATTTTCTGACTCACCTGTAAGTCGCTTGCGAATTGAATTATGGTCTCTCCTGAAGTTCAAATTTGCATCTTTTGTGATCAGTGGCGAAGTATCGTCATCCATCGATGACCATGGATCTCCTATGCATTTCTCTTCATCAGCTTCCGATTTGTTCATGGTGCCGTAGGTGTTTTCTTTATTAGGCGTCGTCAGAATTTTCGCATCATCCTTCTCCCTTTTACGAGACCAGTGACCCAGGAAAACCAGAGCAAACCTAGAAGGGAGGGGCAAGACATCATCCTCAGCCGAAGGGAGTGTAGGTGATAGATCTCCCGAAAGATGGGAAGCCATTCCGTTTGCGGTCGTAAAATCACTTTCTAAAGATCAAATGTTGTCTGCGGTATTCATGATTGTCAACCACACCAATGCTTGTTCGCAACACAATGATTTCCGATATACCTGATCATATTGGATTACTCCCTGCTGTCCAGAGTGTCAAACTATTATGAGGTATTGGGAGGCGGGGCTTAGCAACCACACAACCAATCATTGGCCTAGTTTGTCGATACTATGCGTTCCTCAACTACACTCCTTAACTACACTCAGAATCTAATTTTATCCCTGGGTAACAGGCAATAGCGGTTGGAAATAATTATTCCAGCTTTATGTGCAACAGCATATATTCCTGAAGAGGGATGGGATCGTATTTAATTTGGGGGGCCATTTCTGTTTTAAAGTAATTGGACATTCGTACTCAATTATTTTTGTTAACTGTAATTATATACTATACCCTAGATTTTTTTTTAATTGTCCTTCATTAACAAAATATTGAGAATGACGCTATACACGTTTGGATTTTAAGCTACAAAATTGATTCGAATTTGAATTTGAATACATTTATACATAGGCCTACTTAAATTTATACTATCAAATTTTTATTTTATTTTCCTCGCTGAAAAATAATTGTAAAAAGTATTAGGAGAAATTTAAATTCATTTTTATCTCTATATTACATTCGAAAAGAGGCAAAGTGGTAGTACGTTAATCTTTTCTATTTTTGTTTATTGTAATTTTGATTAGACATTTGCACTCAATTATTTTGGATATACTGTAATTTTGCTTTTTGTTATCCTTAAAAATTGAGTATGATCCTATATTTTGAATGTGGATTGCATGATTTTTTTTTCTGTATAAGGATGTGTATATTTTGTATAGAAAATATGAATAGTTAATATTTTAAGTATTGTGGATAAAACGTTTGGTTTTATCAAATGCTTTATCTCAGCTCCACGAAACACGAAACAAAACAAAATGACACTTTTTATCATCAATAATTCAGACTTATGATTGGTAATTTGGTATCACTGATACGAATCAGAATCGTTATATACATTTTAAAAACGAAGTATTTCACGTTGAAGTTTTATGATATTTGTTTTGTACCAAATCTTAACAAGACAAAGGATCTTAGCAGATTCTCGTTAAGTTGACAAAAAAACACGTTTTTATAATCTTCGTTTACGCCAGTTCATAAAAAATAAAATATGAACTTATATAATTGATTGGTTGTTACAATTATAGATCTTGCCAACTGCTTGCCAGATGTATTAACAATTGAAATAGGTAACCAACCATTTTATTATTGTAGGTTATAAAACCGTAGTTTAATGCAAAAGTTACCAATAGGTCAGGTGGTATGTGAAAAAGGTGGGCTCATCTGTCTGGCTCAGGGCCAAGCATCGGTTTCATTAGAAGCTCATTGTCTTTATATTCTTCTATTGTTCATTTTGTTTATTTTCATATCAGTTCTTTTACTTTTGTTTTCTTTTGTATTGGTATAATCTTCCTACAAGTGCTGAGAAATGCACTTATATCAAAGGTTACACTCCTTATAATCATTATGAAAGGACAGTGCTTCAGTGAAGTGTTACTAAAATATCATTGAAATTTGATCATGCTTTGAGATTATTTCCGTTTTTCAGAAGTGTTCTATCTCTTCTTAAAAGCTCAAGTAGGCGCATAGCAAGACGTCATCAATTGCAGCTTTAGTGTTTTCGGGGAGGAGGTTATGCGAAAAGCTAGAAAAACGCTAAATCCACGATTATTCGGACATTTTTCAGAGCAAAATACTGTACGTAGGCAATTTTGTTTTAGAGTGGATATAATATTTTGGTCGGGTGCTTATACAGAGCAACCTCCTTTAGCGCATGATTGTATTAAAGGAACCTTTACATTGATTGATCGATTGATTGATTAATTTTATTCCATTTCATACATCAATATTTATTGTTTGCACGATAAAAACATAGTTGACAAAGTAAGTTCAAAATTATGAAATGAAACGGGAACCTACTGGAAAGCATAGCTGGTTTTTGTAGGTTCCCAAGAATAAATATGATATGAACATTACTTTCATAAATCATTTTAAAGTGTCTTAATAATCACAGTAAATTAGATATAATATAATAACATTTTCATAAAACTTTTAAAAGTAGGCCTATCTAAATAATCGAAACATACAAAAAAGAACGGAATTACAAAACGGGGCACAAAGGACAGGAAACTTACATAATAAGATAAGACAAGACATTACCAAACAATTTATAACAGGACAAGATAAACAAGACATGACAAGACAAAACAAAACATTAACACTACTTGCCTGCAAAGGCCACTTTCCATGTCTCTCTTAATTGGGCTTTCTATACAGCTTTCACTGTAGTTGTGTTTTAATATGATATCTAACCTTGTATTTTAGTCGATCGAATCCTTGCAGGTAGTCAGAATTTGAGGACAAAAATTAATGGCTGCTTGATTTATGATTGGCCACAACAATAATAAGAGTGTGTAAATTATATTCAGGTCCCTTATTTTTTCTAGTTTTGAGACTGCGACGACAAAATCACCAACATTCCTCCGAAACTTATCAGGCCCAGAGTTTTTGTTTTCTCCACAGAGCCGCGGCCGCTTATTTAACTCACATATTCATCGTTAGTTATCCTAAATTATAACAATTTATGCATTTTTGTGGTATTAAATTGGCATTCATATACTAACTCTTAAAATGCATGTATTTCTTGTCATGGTTACTTATTCTCATTTATGCAAATAGTTATGATGTTACTTGTTAGTGCATCTTAGATCTGTCTTGACTATTTGTGCCTCAGAAATACAATTTTGTTTATACATTCGTATATTCTATATCTACATTTTCTATCCACAATACACTAAATCAAGGCCATTCGTCATGATTGATGAATCGGTAGAAAAAAACATACGGGTTATAGGAATTTCACATCTTCGGGAGGTGCAGCAGGGGAAGCCAATTTTTATTCTTTCATACTTTGTATCATAATATGTTGCCATTCTATTGTACCTTCTATTGTATGTTTGAAACGGCAAATAAATGATAATAGTAATAACGCATCTCAAATGTTCTTGCATTTACACAAAATATTAATCTTATCTTCTTAATAATGAGTAGTTGTATTCGATATAATTACCTTTTATGTGATTTATGTAGTTAGTTATGTTGTGTTTTGCGTGATAATGCTATGTTATGTTATCTGTTTGTTTGTTTGTTTGTTTATTTATTGTTTTTTGTTATGTATTTCTCTTGAAGTGTGGTATAAAATAGGGGATCAGCCTTGACAGGCCAATGGCCTTTGTTGATCCCTCGCACCCGTATAGTGCCATGTACATACATGTTGTTATATTTTTAATTTATACTGATTTGTTTGAATATCTCCTGATGTGTTTTTAAAGAGATGTGAGCTAAAATTGAATTGAAATGAGTTGAATATTTATGTTGGTTTTAAAGATTGAGTTGATAATAGGGCTAAACCAGAGATAGTCGCGCGATCTATGTGGGGTGTGTGTTAGGGAGGAGAACAGGATGATTTATAATATATAAATGGACTGGCAGTGGATTCGAATCATGGGTTCAAAGTCTAATCTGTTACCCTAGTTTGCTCAAACCCGTGACGTTATAGTCTCCTTTTCATGCGTTTTTTTCACCATACGTTATCATTGGCAGTCAATCAACCGACGGCTGTAACGTGACGTTTCTTCGAAGACTAGTAGTTCTGTCATCGTGGGGTTGTGAAAACAATTGTACCTCAGTGATAACAGTGAAGGAAGCAAACGAGAGAACATTGTATGGAGAGTGGTTTGAAGAGCATAACTCAAAGGACTGGACGCTAGACTATGACCAGCGACAAATGGGAACTTGAACTTCATGACATGTAAACAATTGCACAGCAGTAACTCGCAACATAGCACTGTATTTGCATCAGCGATATGAAGAATTGTAGGCTCTGTGTATATGCATAAATGATATCATAGAGCTGGCATTTTGGGTTGCAGTGAATTCTCGTACGTTTTCACGTGAATGAGCCTTTTGAAATATATTATATAGCTTTAGGCCTATCTATATTTTATACAGAGTGAACATCGGCTGCATGTATATATCATTGAAACCATGGCTATGATCTTGACTGTCTTGGGGTATGTTGCCCTTCTAATCTGCGTTATATTAGGACTGGCCATTGTTGTATTATCTGCAGCCATTCTCCGGAAGGAATACGAGCTCAAGGATGTACCCACTCCAAAAAATAAGAGGTACGTATTATGTTTACATATACGCTATAACCATGACTGATTATCATATTTTTACTGTCATGACAATTAGCGTGTGTATATGGTACGTGTAAACAGATTTCTCTTTCGTTCGCTGTTACAATATATAAACATATATATAAGCATATTTTGGGTTTTATTTATGTTTCGAGATATGGATGCAGGCTTTAAAGGCATTATATGGGATTATACATTTATATATCTGCGTGTGTGTGTGTGTGTGTGTGTGTGTGAAATTTTGGCTACATTCATTGATATCCGCTTGATACACATCTGCGTTCCGAAATTTACATTCAGTTGTAATTCTCCCAAGCTGTATTTTCTTACATACATAAGACGATGTCAAGTTCAAAATCCGCTTTTTAACTATCCATTTGCCAGGAACAACATTGACCAAGAACAACGATAGACAGTTGCTGCAGGTCCCCTGTTCGTGGCCTAAACTTTGTATTTGTCTTTCTCTTCCTATTTATCATTCTAGTTTCTTCCTAGGTGATATAAAGACAATTGGTGCGTGGAGGGAGAAGGTTGGGATGCCCTTGGCAAATATTCTATATTTGATGTAAGTGCAATGAAACTGTTTCATTATAGTGCGTGTATCTAAGACTGTATAGGCTACATTTATTTTTAAGAGGAAAAAAAAAGTCTCACGTAATGCACAACATTATAATGATTATTGTCGCTGAAATCTACGAAACATGTACGAGAAGACCACCAACAAAAAACACGGAGATTTTTTCAGGACTAAAATGATAATATTCCTGTATATATCTATAAAGAATGACTATTATTAACACTCTCTCCACTTTACTACCATCTAATGTTCCGTTTATTACTTGTCTCCATGACTCACGTAAAGTTAAATCGAACAGAAAATTAACCTTGACAAAATAAACGTAGATATAAACAAATTGTGTACAGAATTTAATTCAATTCAATTCATATCGGATTTTTTTTTTTTTACTTGCTGGATTACGTGAATTTGTAAATGGCGTCGGAAAAAATGTGTTGAAATTTTTTTCCTTCAAACCAGCTTTCGTTAATTGCTTTTTCGTTTGTGGGATTTTTGTTCTTCCTTGGAATTATTTCATCCCCCTTCTTTTTTAAGGAACTATGCTATGAAATAAACACCACTTCATTAAACTGAATAGAAGAACAAAGAAATCAAATACTTAATTACAATAATTTCTCAGGACAAAGGATCTTGGACCGGTGTATTATATGAGGGTCTTCTGGCAAGCACATTTCATCGCATCAGCACCAGAAATTGTTAAGGTGAATTTTCATTTGACGTTTAATTCTATTGTTTACTAACATAATAAGTCTCGTAGCTATTTAGTAGTGAAGCCGGTATTAGTTTTGCTATTTTTTTAGGGTCGAGACGCTAAGAAATGGTTTCAAATGTACATTACACGAACCCTGAACCATTGCAAAATGATGGTGGTTCTCTCTCTCTCTCTCTTTCTTTATTTTAATTATGCATTATCAACTACATATAAAGCAGCAACCAAACACTTAGGGTTATCTGAGAAAGGTGAAAGTAAGAGTTAAAAAGAAAGTCATGCTAAAACGGCGCTTCACTTCCCACCGCCCCCTGAAAAAAATTAAATAGATTAGTAGTCCTCCTCTCCAGAATCCACCTCCCCCCCCCCCCCCCGCTTTAATATCACATTTTCACTTGGCAGCCCAAGGGGGCCGGGGGTGGGAGGAGGGGGTTAAACCCCCTACCCCCCCCCCCCTGCCGTAGATCTGCCCATGTTACCATATCATTCCACGACATTTTGGTCTTCCTCTTCTCCTCAAAAGGGACTTTTAGATTTGCGTGGACGTGGACGTGTTACGTCCTTTTAAGGCACTGGCAATCACATGTGACGTCCTTTTAAGCACTGGCAGTGCCTTAAAAGGAGGTCACACGTTGCAGTCCACGTTCTCATCGTGCAAATCTAAAAGTCCCTAATATTGATTTACTGGTCGAGGTTCATTATTTGCTGACAACGAAAAACTTCTCCAGGCCATGACCATGTTTCTGCCCTTGCCCGATCGCCTCCAGCTCCAGCAGACATGGCGCGGCAGCGTGCACACGCACCGCTACTAACGGCGCAGTAGGCCTATAACCACTGCTGACGGCGGCACTGCTCTGCGAGCTGAATCGGTAATAATAGGCCTACTCATAAAACGAGAAATCTTGCACGCTAATCTTAGTTCCATTTCATTGGTTTAAGGTTTGAAAATTGAAACTCAATATTGTGTTAAAGTTATAACAGAAAAGATTATCTTTATTTTATAATTCCACCGGGGCGATTTTTAATTTTGCAATCGCCCCCGTGAGCAACCTGACGGGGGCGATTTTGTAGCTTACGGGGGCGAATCGCCCACCGCCCCGTGTGTTTTGAGCGCTGATGTGTTTGTTGGAAAATGACGAATTTCTAAATTTACAGCCAGGCCAAAAATATGATTCTTGAGATTCCTACATGTCAGGGCCCGAGGTACGGCGGGGATCGAGAGCCTCGAGCCCCCCCCCCCCCCCCACACTTTTCTTGAAAAAGTATATTAAAGAGAAATAAAATAGAATGAGAGCAAGAAGTGAGAATAGTTAACTGCCAGTGTAAACAAAATAATGAGGCATCAAAATATGCTCATCTGACCGTGATTAAATGCCTAAAACCCTTAAGCTTCCCCCTTGCCCCCTGGATTCCATCTAGGGCCCTACGGCGGGCCCTTAGATGACCATCTGACGGTAATTTAATGCCTATAAAACCCCTGATTTTTGGACCTGGACCCCACGCCAAATAGTGACCTGCCAGTGTCGCAAAATAATAAGGTATACAAAAAAATATGCTCATCTGACCTTAATTAAACGCCTAAAACCCCTGAGCTTCCGGGGCCGGCTTCGCCGCCTCGACCCCACCAGGGGCCCTAAGGCGGGCCCCTGAATGCTTATCTGACCGTAATTTATTGCCTTAACCCCCTGAGCTCGCGGGGTCGGACAAGGTATCGAGATGTGTTTATCTGAATTCAGACGAGGATTAAGAGTCGAGAACTGTGAAACGAATCGTTTTCTTTCTCTAATGATTTTAATGAAACGTAAAAGCTTCCGCGCTTCGCGCAGGAGGGGGAGGGGGAGGAACTGAATTTAGACAAGGATTAAGAGTCGAGAACTGTACAACGAATCGTTTTCTTCCTCTAATGATTAAATGAAACGTAAAAGCTTCCGCGCTTCGCGAAGGGAGGGGGGGGGGAACCTGAATTCAGACGAGGATTAAGAGTCGAGAACTGTACAACGAATCGTTTTCTTCCTCTAATGATTAAATGAAACGTAAAAGCTTCCGCGCTTCGCGCGGGAGGGGGGGGGGGAAACCTGAATTCAGACGAGGATTAAGAGTCGAGAACTGTACAACGAATCGTTTTCTTCCTCTAATGATTAAATGAAACGTAAAAGCTTCCGCGCTTCGCGCAGGAGGGGGGGGGGCTGAATTTAGACAAGGATTAAGAGTCGAGAACTGTACAACGAATCGTTTTCTTTCTCTAATGATTTAATGAAACGTAAAAGCTTCCGCGCTTCGCGCGGGAGGCGGGGGAGGGGAGGGGGGGGACTGAATTTAGACAAGGATTAAGAGTCGAGAACAGTACAACGAATCGTCTTCTTTATCTAATAATTTAATGAATCGTAAAAGGGGGGAACCTGAATTTAGACAAGGATTAAGAGTCGAGAACAGTACAACGAATCGTCTTCTTTATCTAATAATTTAATGAATCGTAAAAGGGGGGAAACTAAATTCAGACGAGAATTATTTCCGAGAACGGTACAACGAATCGTCTTCTTTCTCTAATAATATAATGAAACGTTAAAGCTTGGGAGGGGGAAACTCCCCCCCCCCCCCGCATTACGTCACTGTTGTTCACCATTACGTACCAATATTTGGCTCGCACAATTTCAAATTTGGGCCCCCCCCCTAAGAAATCCTGGATCCGCGCCTGGATTTACCCGTTCCAGCCCCATCCCCTCCCTCCCTCCCAGCCCCTATGATACCAGTGTCTCCTCCTCTATGGCTAGTTCAACCAGGGACATGATAGAGAAGGACTAGAATCAAGCCTCTCTCCTTTGACCCCATGCTCCAAGCCGCCGAAAAGTTATGCGCTAATCTGCAACTGTTGACCAGGTGGTGAGTTACAAAAGCGCATGAAATTTCAGGATTTTGAATTCCTACATCAGAAAATGGTATCACAGCAACTGTTCGCTGTCCCTTTCAATGATTTCCCATCCAATGTTGAATATGTAAAGAGTAGAACAAGCGAACACAAACTTGTGTAATTTCATCCTTTTTTTCAACTGCAAAAATACAAAAAACACGCGAAAACACGCATTAGCAAACTAGTTATCAAAGATTGTAATTGTAATTTACACTGAAATTTTGCCGGTAATTTAATATTTTGTAATAAATGTGAAACTAGTGCCTGGCCTCCAAAATTCCCTGCAGTGGAAGCGCGGTTCGGAGCATGGAACCTCAAAGCCATGTTGAATGTTACACATCCCATTGTTACGCTTTAGAACTCACGAATGCATTTGAATAAATTACAAGAGTTTCGACTCCTTTCTTTCACATCTCTGGTCTAACGCTACGCCACTGATAATTGTACTATGATCATGTCACGATATCAGTTACGATAAGAGATAAGGGAAATCATTCTCGGGGCACATTATCCTTACGCTCGCAGTTTGCCTATAATCATGTACCTACGTGAAATGATACATGGGCGATTGATCGATCGTTCTTTTAATAAATTGGGTTAATACAACTTTTGGAAGTTAAGATACGGAATAAAAGAGTGTAGTTTTTCCATCTCATCATCATTTTGACAATTGTCTGTAAGTGACAAATTTGTTAACGAACGCTTACAGAACAAATACACACTCCTACGTATACTTAAATGGTGTTTATAGGTCATCGACATCTAACCTCATTCACAAAGAGCAGAATTTTGTCGCGCTTTCATCGATATTAATACTACGTATTACAATGAAACGTTCCTTACATTAACAAACAAATGCTATCATTTCCAGGAGCTGCTTCTAAACAGCCGCCATATAAAACCACTGTATGTCTACCGTGGCTTTCAGAAACTATACGGCGAGCGATTTATGGGCCACGGACTCGTATCTGAGGTCGATCATGAGAAGTGGTTTCACAGGAGAGCCATCATGAACCCTGCATTCAGACGAAAGTAAGTACCATAAAGGCTTGTTCAAATATAGCGCGGTATACTGCCGCAAAAGAAAGCCGCGGCCATTTTTGTTTAACCCTAAAAAGGCCGGGCTATTTGGGGTCTTAGTACGGCCGGGGGGGGGGCATTATGGCCCCCCTTAAGATCTCGGCCGCAAAGCGGCCGGTCGCCCCGAAAATTTGCACGCATGTCAAGTGAAGTGTATAGAATAATATGATAATTTTAATTTTTTGAAAAATTCACTCATTTGCATATTTATGGTAATTTATGCAAATAAAGTCATAAAAATCACATTTTTACCCATAAATAATATATTATTCATATTTAAGCCTTCTTTTTCACTACATATATTGAATCTTGACTATAAATAAGTTTAAGCAAGGCACCTAAAAGCTCCCCAAAGCACCCCACCCCCTAAATAAAATGTCAGCATCGCGCTGCATGGTTATGCCGTCATAAATGACGAAATAATGTAAGCAATACACGATGCTGCTAATTACTGCCATGATTATTATATCATATGCAGGCTGTTACAGTTACAATGCATATCGACTCTACATATACAGTGCGTCCCAGAAAAAAACGAAACCGAGAACTATCGATGTTTTATCATAACTTAGTCATATTTATAATTAATAAATGACACATATTTGGAAAGATTAGATCCTCCTCTTTCATTTGACGCAACTCATGTGATGCATATTTCACGCCTGAGTGATTAAAATGAATATGAAGAAAGGAAACCAAAAAGTGATTTGGCGGGCGTGATCTGAATTTCAAAAAGAAAATCACATTTCTATAAGGGTGAGTTTCTGCCCTTTCATATGACACCTCAATCATGAAAAATGAGCTAGGAATGACAAATGACTTTTTGTTTTCCTCTCTTCAAATTAATTTAATCACTCATGCGTGAAATATGGATTATACGAGTTACATCAAATGAAAGAGGAGGATCTAAGTTTGTGTCATTTGTCAATTATAATTGTGATTAAGTTAAGATAAAACATCGATAATTCTCGGTTTCGTTTTTTCTGGGACGCACTGTATATTAATAATTAACTCGAGAACATAATCATTTTGGACCTGATTAAAATATTCCTAGGTATCTAATCAGCCTCATGGAGGAGTACAACTCGGGATCAGAAGCTCTTTGTCAGAAGCTCAAGGAGAAAGCCGATGGTAAAATAGAAGTCCCCATGTTAGACGAACTCAACAAAGTAACACTGGACGTCATTGCAAAGGTATATAAAACAATACCGGAGTGAGTCCATGCTTGGGGATGGGGAAGAAGGACTTTCTTCAGTTGGGAAAGCGAAATGGATCATATGGATAGAAATATTACTGACGCACTACAAAGAAATATTTTTTTCCGTACAGATTTTTATTTGTTATCACCCTGGAACAGCAAATAATTAAAAGTGAAAAAAGAGATCGTGGGACACAATTAAGAGCTTGAAGTAAACCAATTCTTGGCAAGAAACAAGTTTTCATGTTGTGGCTTATCCTCCTCCTGTACAATTATTTATTACATAAGTGCCTTTGATGTTCAAACAAACAAAAAACAAACACCAAGGCTTCGAAGAGAAGGGCATTTTTATCCTTTACAGATCGCGTTCAGCATGGATACTAATGCTATAGGAGATCCAGACTGTCCATTCCCCGCTGCCATCACCGCGGCACTCCAAGGTTTACAGTCGTTACATGAAAAGCCATGGTCTACTGTGAGTACATTTAACTTTCTAATTCTTTCAGGATCATAGGAACTATTTTTCAGAATGCTATTGTTTTTTTTATTACGTTTTGGGGTGTTTCCTCACTTCAAAGGATTATCAACAAGCCATCTCATGGCCCATTTCCAATATGTATATGCAAATCGTCCGCATGATACAAGCCAAAACTATTTTCTCATCATAATGACATTGAGATAACTTAACACGCAATGATTTTTTTTTCTGTAAGGACAAAACTAGGGATCTACAGAAGTCTAACCACCTATGTTTTTAATATCGACCCCTTACGTCTCACAGGTACGTGTAGGTACCCATGAATCTGTCCTACCAGAAAAGGAGGTATCGCCATCTATTGATCAAGCGTTCATGATGTGACTAGCAAAAGATTGATAGCATCGTCCACATCCAAACTATTTTATTTATATATAACATGTTATGTGGGTTCTACCAACCTTAGAATTTGGAAGGCAAGTTTTCGTCCACTTCTGTGGACTTTCATAAGCCACGTGATTCTCCACACACTTAAAATATTTATGATCTTAATAGATAGATCCAAGGTGTATTTCCATGCGACGGTCCACACGCAAGGCTGTTCACTTCATCCGGGAAACTGGACGAGATCAGATCAAGGAACGGATCCAGGCTCGTAAGAGAGGAGATCATGTTCCAAGTGATCTACTCAACCTCATTCTCGATATAGCCAACGATCTAGAGGGAGACAAGGACTTCAGCATGGAAAATATGTTGGATGAATTTGTTACTCTGTTTATAGCAGGTACGTAAGTCCACTGCCTACGAATATCAGTTCCTGTTTTTATCTTAGGTGGTTCCTGGTTTTAGCAAACGTGGATGCGGCAATTCAGCTGTAAAAGGGTTATCATTCGATTTTACGCAATAAACATTGTAATAATGTTGGCTTGTGTTTGTGAATATGCTCTTGTTCTACAGATTTCGTATCAAGAAACTCTGATTATGAGCACGTCTTGGGACGGACCTCTATAAAAAAAAAAAATGCCTTGATCAAATTGACATGACTTGTTTTCTATCTGGGATCCGTCAGTGTGTGTTTGTAGGCGAAGGTGGGGGCTACAGAAGACTTCTTTCACATTCGAACCATCAAAGCCGTGTACTAACCAAGTTCATTTTCTTATATGCGACGTAACAATGCACAAAGACTTGTTCAGAATTACTGAGTTAGATTACTGTTGGTAATCATCTATATTTCCTAAGTCATTCCATAGACTTGTAGTGGATGTTATCAAAGGTCCCCATAATAATCTATCATTATACGTGCATGTATTTTTTCTATCCTTTGCTAGCTGCCATAAGAGCAAGAATATTTAGACCTACGACGTTTTACTTTTGACGCTGGATCATACAAAGGCGTTAGAATTAACCAAAAATTATTTTTATTTGATAAATATACCTCTGCTTTCAGGGATCTAGCTGTCGTGAATTCCACTATTTACTTACATAAAAACCACAATTTGATTATTCTGCTACCCATAAGAATTTATTCATGTGATTTAAATAGGTATAATCGTTTCATAAATTTAGAGTATTGTTTCATCCTTCTGATATTTCAGGTCAAGAAACGACAAGCAATCTTTTGGCCTTCACAATCCTACAACTCGGTTGTCACCCTGATGTCGCCAAAAGGTAATTATGTATAAGCGACTTCACTAAGTCGCTACAAAGTAAATATATCAAAGCAACTTCATAAAGTACACCATTGCAGTCATGAGTTAACAACAATCAATGTTTAAAAAATTCCTTATGAGAATTGTATTTAAAACAATACGTTCGTCGTGTCACACGTTAACATGAGCTGGGCCCTGTTGCACAAAACTTACCATTGATGGTAACTTTGCCATCAATGGCAACTACCATGGCAACAGGGTTTAACAGCCAATCAAAATCAAGGTTTTCATGTTAGTTACCGTTGATGGCAAAGTTACCATCAATGGTAAGTTTTGGGCAACGGGGCCCAGATGTCTGAATGAAAAAGTTGACTGTTTATGACACGGTGTCACGGAAGACTTTAAATACTGGATTTAACGTCTTCTGTATTTTTACTAGATTATATGTTGACATTTGGCTGCACATAACTGTAATTAAATTCAAATAAAACATCTTATTCAGTTTTTAAAGTTTGTATGATCTAACCTTATCTTATATCATGATCTTTGTTTAATAGGCTTCAAGCTGAAGTTGATGAAGTACTGGGACAAAAACACACAATTCAGTATGAAGATCTGGCCAAACTGGAATACATGATGAGGGTAAGAATTTGATATTGATATGGTATTTGGTATAGAATTCGGTATTATTATCTGTTGTTAGCATATCCCCCTAATTGTATAAACTTAGAATGTAATGGCTTTTTTTCATTCTTTGATTTTGTTTTTCTCTCTAAAGTTTAACGCAAGTTTTCTCAATGATTGCTTGAAATTAAAGATGAGTAGTTTTACAATTAATCACTGATGATAATGAAGAATACTGTAAGCTGCAAGCTAATGTTTCAAGAAGGGTTTTTAAAGTAACATATAATTATTGATTTTTTTTCTTCCTGCACTCGTCAGTATAAAGCAATAAAATCAATGCCTGTATTCAAGCTATTCCTCGGTTTTGTAGTAATATCAGCACTTTTTTTTAGTATATTCATCACTTTAGTTCGTGCTTTGGTTAGATAAAGATATTTCAAAATATTGTTTAGACAAAGGAAAAAATTGTTGTCGTTAACACGTTTGTTGCTCTTTAAGTATCTTTAAGAGTTTTTAGGTAATTTTTCTGATTTTGTAGTAATATCATCACTTTTGTAGTATAATCATCACTTTAGTTCATGCTTTGGTTTAATAAAGGTATGTCAAAATATTTTAATTGAATTGAATTTTTTGATTTGACATTGAATTTGTTAGACAAAGGAAAGAAAATTGTTTTCGTTAACTCGTTTGTTGCTCTTTAAGTATCTTTAAGTATTTTAAAGTATTTTTTTCTGAATTTTTCAGGTTTTGAAGGAAACGTTGAGGTTGTATTCACCGGTCGGAGGTACAACCCGCCTAACTGCTCATCCTATTAACTATAACGGCATCACAATACCAGCCAAGTGCACTGTAACCGTACGTATCTCCAACCGATTTCTATTTCCCCTCTTTTTCTAATATATATCTTTAGGGCTGAGGTATATTTTATTTAGGGAAAATTGACATTTATGTTTTTTCTTTTGGAAAGATCAAATAGGAAAGGTAATCGCAAGGTAAATCACTCAGTTGCCAATTTGTGTTTAAAGATCTCATCTTTACAACTTTCTGACTTCTTTGTCATTTTCATTTTACCGTTTCTCTCACGCTGATGCTTTTATTTAAGCTTTATTGACTGCACGTTTTCTCATATCTATGATTATCATAAACATTTAACTTCATTATATTGTTATGTAAATATTACAAAACAATTCTGTAGAGACCGTTCGAAGTTTCGTTGGAGTGGTTTAGTTATGTGTGAAAACTGAGGCCGCATTAACAGTGTATCCACTTTTTGTTGTTGACACTGTCACTTTGACAATCGTGTGCCATTGTCCTTTAAAGGAGACCGAACCCCAAGTAATAAATTTACTTATTCTGAGAGATTTATTATATTATTGCCCATAAATCTACAAGATTCCCCACCAAAGTGTCTGAGAGAGGTATAAAGCAAAAATAAAGTACAGTTTCTCAGCACGACATGGGCATCGTCATTTTCTTGATAATGTGACGTACTATGCATCGTCGTTTATCAAGTAAATGTATTCAAATTTATGGATGCTTCTTTCCCAGACGTGTGTGGTGATGAAGCATTTCATTCACCTGCTGTTATCTTTTGTACTATAATTGCCAGAACGCAAATTGCATAAATAAGTTGTGCTCTTTTGGGGTGAAGGTTTCTCATAAATGAAATAGATTTGTCAACCGCTATAGTGTAGTATTTGTAAATGAATTTTGTTACATTATTGTGCCCCTATTATTTATTTTTCACCAAATATAATTTCTATCATCTCAGTTATTATTTTTTTGTATTTAAAAGTAAAGGTTTCGTTATTGATTTAAAAATTCTTTCCAACTAAAGCTTGGTGCATGATACATGTACAACTTCAACAGGAACGTCACATTTCCAAGAAAATGGTTGCGCCCATGTCATGCTGAAAGGCATCACATCATGCCAGGAATATCTTCATTTATATATATCTTGTACATTTTCGTAAGGAATATTGTACATCAAAGGGCATGAATACATCTCATTTTTCAGAATACTTACACTTATTATTTGGGTTTAGGTTTCCGTTAAGACCTTCCGCAGTCACACTGATGAAACCAACACCAGACTAAGAGTAGACCGAAGGGGGGGGGGAGCATTACATGAACCCAATGGGCGAGACTCTGGCGGTGTGGCTGGGGTATTACTTTTACTCTATTCAAACCCTCTCACATAGACAGTTCTCACAGAAACGTTCATTCGGTGAGGAGTTGTATGCGGGACCATGAACGTGTCGGCCTAGAGGTATTAATATCCTTTTATAATTTTGTCTACCTCCAGGTTATGTCTTACGTCATGTCCAGAATGGAGGAATACTTTGATGACCCTCTGCTCTTCAATCCTGATCGTTTCAAGCCTTCCGAGGACGGATCATTGTAAGTCATAATTTGTTGTATACTACGGAGCCCTATGCTGTCTAAGAGTTCTCTCCTTCCAATATACGTCAAAGCGTAACAATTTGAGTAAAATTATTTCTTTCATGCATACATTTTCACTTTTATTTCCAATTATTGTTTATCATTACTACACACTGGTAAATATTCCAGAAAATAAATATGCCACAGAGAAATAAGCCTGTTTACACAGTAAATCCTACAACCTAGATCGGCTGTTTATATCTTCTTTTTTATCGTAGAATAATTAAACATGTTGTTGATACCTGTATTAAACGCCAATTATTGTCCTCTTCCCAATAACTACCAGGCCTAGACATCTCTATGCTTACTTTCCGTTCTCCATGGGGCAACGGTCTTGTATTGGTCAACAGTTTGCACTGGTAGGTATATATCCATCATATTTGCTCTTAGTTGGTAATTTGGGGGCACGAAACTTTTTAGCAAAGAGGTTATAATACATTGTCGAATGATCGCGGAAAAGAAAGGGGGCGGAAAATGTGGGATACGAATGGATCCACGTCATAAATGTCAGATAGCAAAAGTATAAGCTTTCTTACAAAAGAAAGAAATAATCCGAAATGGCATTGCTTTTAATTTCCTTTAGATGATTATGCTATATGCCATCGATTTCCCTAAATGTATGATTGAGTCACAACTCAACACAACATGCAAACCAACAATGTGCTATTGTAGTTACGTATAAAAGTTCATATACTGAAAATTACTAAAATGAGTTTTGTACACGACTTTCTCTATCCATAATTATGTTGACATTCAAAAGAAGAAAACAAAATCCGGGATTCAGTCTAAATATCTTATGCTGATTTCCATCTTCTTCCAAGATCGAGGCTCGCGTCATCTTAGCTAAGCTTCTCCAACGATTCGAATTTCGACTAGAGCAATCGCAGAGTATGGGTATCCTGGACGAACTAACGTCCAAGCCAATGGGGAGATGCAGGAACTACATCACACTAAGAGCCTAGGCTCACAGCAATTTAAGCCAGCTGCCATCACACAAAGAGCCTAAATCCTCGTCAAGATAGGCGGTTTTTTTAATGACGCAAGTGTCATACAGTTCTAACTCCAGGCTTAGAATACAGATTCCAGTGAATCGCATGCATGCATGTATAATTATTGTTTTATAGTTACAAAACAAAGAACAGCAACAAAGAGATGTATGTTGATTTGATACTTTGGATGTATTTTCGTTGTTAAGAATTTATGATAATGATTATAGGCTCCGTTCGGTAGGAGAAACGTGCGGACATTTTAAGATACCAAAGTACGTTATTGTTCTCCGGCACGTATATCATTAATTATTACGTTCTTTGTATATGAACAATAGCCTTAAGTCTCTTCTGAGATTGTTGATAATCATGTTCATACTTTTCAGCAGTCCGTAAAACTGAGAACAGTTCCTAGTAAAGATCCTGTAGGTTAAGGAATGATTTTTGAAAAAGATGTTTGAGGAGACTGGATGAGTGGAATTTGAAATATACATAATTTTATTTATCTTACATTGTTCAAGATTACCGTTAAGTAAAATAATGTACATTTATATTAAGGATTGTTAACCAAATGGTCCTATTTAAAAGCCCTTTAAAAAGGAGTCTGTTGATACACGTGACCAAGAAGTTGCATGTAAGTTTAAGTGGCAAGTCTGAAATACAACTTTCAAATCATTGATGTCCGTTTGTATCTCGTATTCTTTTTTGGCAAAATTTGCTTGACCGCATGAGGTTCGAAGAATTATTTTTGTATTGCAACCAAAACGTGAGGTTGGATTTCAAATAAAAATTAAAATATCAACAGATAGGTAACAGGGGTAGAAATAATTTATACAAAGTCAAAGAAACTTCGGAGTCTGATACATGAATGTATGAAAGATAATGTGCTACAATGAACTAAAGTTAGCTCATGAATTGTAAATCATGATTGTAAATAACATCATAATTATTTAGGATATGTGTGTATATGAACTAAGCAGTTTATGATGCAATATTTTAAAAATGTGAAAAAACAGATCACAAACATTACATAGATTCATAATCAAGTTGTGAGCGGTGGCACCGTGTATCGTCTGTTGATACCTAACATCCTCCCAGCTCTCAACAGACGATAGATCATATACATCTCATTGAAATATAATTAGAAATTAACAAACTGAGTATGGAGCATGATTTCGGATCTGTTAAACTCAAATAATAGGACGTAAGGTAAATGAAAAACATTTTTATTGATCTCTATCAACACAATTGATTAAATAAAAACTTTTACCTAACCTGTATGGGCATGTGGAGGTCTTTCTCATATTCTGCTTTGATTAGCAAAATTCATATAGGCCTATGCAAATACAAAAAAAAAATGTACTGGTAGTACTTTTATCCTTTATGCTTTTAATACAGTGAGCATGAAATATTGAGTGATACAGAGTTCACTTTCTGGTCCTATGTGTATGGTTAGTATATGTATCGTTTATTATAATTATTATGCACATATTGAAATATATTTTTGCTCCCGAATTGCATTCTACATGGTTTTAATATTGTACAGTCAAAATTGTGTATAAAATGTTTAAGATATGCTTCACCTATTAGTCGGGGCATTGGTCCTATTTATTCTTTATTGGGAATGTGCATCGGTCCAAAGGAGAGGTAATAACAAAATGGATTATACTGCCAATGACGAACAAAAAAGGGATGTATACAATTTATTAGGAATGTGCATCGGTCCAAAGGAGAGGTAATAACAAAATGGATTATACTGCCAATGACGAACAAAAAAGGGATGTATAACATTTATTAGGAATGTGCATCGGTCCAAAGGAGAGGTAATAACAAAATGGATTATACTGCCAATGACGAACAAAAAAGGGATGTATAAAATGTAACCATTCCCCCACCTCACTCTTACACCTGGGCCATGACATCTCGATTGTATATATTGTGAAACCATAGGACATCTTATTTTATATTCATTTTGTTATATGATTTGTGTAACTCATCAATTTACACTAACGATCAGTAATACAATACATTCGAATAAACGCTATACCAATCAATTATGTGAGTTTGGTGTGTTCTTCTCCGATTTTTGATTCCGAGTTGAATTTGTCCATAAGATTTGGTCGGTACAGTTGCTTATGTTTTCATTATTATTATAATAACCTGTTTAATACCAGAAATTGTTTGTTATATCTTTCAGAGCAACAAAGTTATTCGTAAATATAATACTAGGATTTCAGCCGACCCTCGTGTAATACATAGTCATTCTTCATTTTCAATAAGTATCTTTGTATACCAAGGATCCACTATCTGGAACAAACTTCCCCCAAATGCCCTGGATCCGCCACTGTCTCAACCCTTACTATCATTTCCCTTGACTGCACCGCCACCATCGATAAACAATCAAACAAATATATGCGCTTAGCATTACACGCAATCACTGTGATAGCACAATCGTAAATAATCTCCACCACTATTATAAAAAATACAAATATCAACCAATTACTAAAGACAATTTCGTGGATGTTTTTATTAATTTCAAGAAAGCAAATTCATGAATAGAAAATCTATTTAAAATGCATCATAAAAGCTTCAAGAAATTTTGTTTTTGCTATTTTTTTATCATATAATGTACATGTGTATTTTGTATTTCTATTATCATTAAATAAAAACGTTTATACGCAAGACTATTTTACGCATAATTATATTCGAGAAAAGACATCCTCGATTTTCCCGCTCACCTCGAATGCTTACGTTAATCGAATACACCGCATTTAACTACTATTGAGAATAATAACAATATAAATGTTAATATCGATTATAACATACAGCAGAAATGAAATATATACACATCAAATTTAACAATTTAAAATACACATATGATTGTGTAAATATGCTGGTGCGATAATTTGTTTACATAATGTATTACGATGATGCAGTATACATGTACATAAAAAGAGATATTTCAAGAACTGACATACTTAAGAAATAGCCATTGCTAGAGAATATGAGGGTGAGACATTTGATCAACAAAAAGTAAGATGGAAACAAGAAGCGAAGTGGCGAGGAGTGGATAATGGATCGAAATTGAAGGGATAGAAAGGTAGGGCCAGGGTATAAAATTCAATAAAACGATACGTGCACGTACAATAAAATACGTAAAGTAATATACAGCATATACATGTATATGCATATATAATAAATATATGTAATGAATATACATGTAAATATTAGGATGAATAACTTGATAAACGATACAGAGTCTTTTGCTAGTTTCTCTAGAAATTAAAGTCAGTGCCTATATTAATTGGAGTTTTGCATAAAAATCCAATTCGTATAAATGAGATTGTCATTCATAATGATAAGTTATACATTCGCATGTGGTTTGAGCATTGTCACTCTGGTAAGTGCAGTGCATTTTTCAGCGTAGAATGAAGTTAGCTTGCACCCCTCCTGCTAGAATTCTTAATCATTCCTTCATTCATTAATGCATTCGATACCAAAAAGAATGTTAAAGATAATTTTAATTTCAAGTTTCAAGTTTCAAATTTTTTATTGTTCCACGTTTTCAGAAAATACAGACATACATATAAAATTAAAAATTATACAATACAATTGTAGTATAAATGAGCACATCTCCATGATTCTCAATTCATGTAATAGGTAGAATGTGAGGAACCTATTAAAAAGCAATGCTTGTATAAATAGGTTCCTAGAGCCAAAACATATCAAAATCTTTTAGAATTTAGTAGGCATCGTCTCATCAACTAATTTGTATTATCTTTTTATTTAATCATTTAGGATAATCACTGACTCTTACATCAGTATTTTGGGTTTGCACCAATGTTGTATTATTTCTGATGTAAGCAAATATGTATAAACATCAGACGGATACTTAACCATTTTTAATTAAATAAGCTTTATACAAAATTAACTTTGGAATCACATCAATTTCGCGGAATTCTTTTTTTAAAACGCTAGACTATGTATGCTAGAGTGTCTGGTACTAAAAAAGAATCTGTGTTCCTCGCACGTTTCGTTCACTCGCAACATTTAGAAACATGATGATTTCAGGCAGCGAAGTGCCTTCATAGCTTCGTATTTAGGCAACGGGGTGCCAGATATCCTTCTCTTTGACAGCGAAGTGACCGTACTAACTCATATCTTTTAGATCAGAATATCGAAACTTTATTTTTTACCACTTTCGTTGAAGATAATTCTGGGCAACGACATCCCAATCATATCCTCATATCCCTGTATCAAGGTGACCGAATAGGCCTATATGAATTTGGTATTCATTTATATTCGGCGCCGTGGTGCCCGCATACATTATGTTATATCTTATCTAGTGTGACGATTACAAAATATATTTTTTTTACCGCGTTGAAAATTTCAAAATTCAAAATTCAAACCAAAAAAATCAAAAAAATGTCAACTCCCAAAAAGTACTATCAGACTTTTTCAGAGCAACCTTAAAATCGTTGAAATATTTTGGTCACGTAACAAGCTCTCAACCAATCAAAAACCAATACATTTTTTTTTATGCAGGATATAATATGACATAATGTAAATAAGATTATTCATCTCGACTTCCTAAATGAGGTGATTTTTTAAAATAAGGAAATACGCAATGCAAAACCTACAGCACTCAGCAGGAAGGACGTGAGAAGTGATGGCTCTGCTATATGTATTTTATTAAAGAGCAGTAAGTAACTATTTATAACTCTCATATTCTATATTTAATTAAAAATGAGTTTCCGTGCCGTAATTCTAGATATCATTGTGAATACTGCTAATTTGCATAATGATCACCTGGAAGAATCGATGCGATTGGTTCTCGGTATGATTTATGGTTTGGAATTATAGAGTGAAGAACGTCTTAAAGCACAAGTACGACGTTATTGTCATTCCTCCGTTGCTATTGCTCTTAATCATGCTCATGTGACATGTGAGGAGACTTTCATTCGGTGTGGAAACTGTAACTTTTGAGGCATTGTTTTACCTATAGCCCTCCTGAGTTGATGCTGGACCTGTTGTGTTTTAATAGGGCTACGTAGACGATTTTGAAGAAATTACTAATACTCTTTGAGGTATTAGAATCGCTATCTAGACGATCCTTCTCCTTCAACGTAATATCAAGTCAATCCCATCATGGATAATCATTACTCTCTGTCTAACCAGCGTGGTGAAACTACTCCTCTGATAGATGATCATCTATATGACAGTTCAAGCAATGAATTAAACACAGTCTGTTATCCCCAGTCAAATGAGAGAAGTCTTAAGAGACGCTGGAGAGACACTTACCCCTTGCCACCCGTCGTCCAAGTCACCCTGGGACTCATTGGCCTCTGGAGTCCGTTGCAGAGAACCAAATCGCCTACGACGATAACACAGCATTCCATTAACCTTCAGGAAATATTGGCATACAATTACGACGACAGAGACCAGCAAGAAGATTCGGATGATGGTTCGTCGCAAGAATACGTCGATAAACACGGAAACAAATACAACTACAGTCACGACAGCGACGACGACGTGGGAGATTGGTCAACAAAAGCACGGGCTCGAGACCGAAAAAGTAAGTATCGATTTCAAAGACAGAAACATGTTGGACGACTTAGAAATTGTATGGAGTGCTTCACTGTTCTTCATTGATTATAGTCCACATTTAAATTGAATAAGGGGATGTTTTATTGACACCGTTGTTTATTCATTAGGGTTCCCTTTTTCATTCATATTTAGATGTGTTTGAATGTCCGTTGAATTGCTGCTTTATATTGATATCAAGAATGTGATTTTATTCATTTATAAAGGGGGAAAAAACTAAAGGTGATAATGGGAGTAAAACGATAAGCACATCGGGCTCGTTCCTATTTAAAAAAAATGTTGTTTTTCTTCTTCCCAGACATGACATCTCGTAAGTCATTTTCGTTATGAACGAGTGACCTATCACTTCAAATTGACGTCTTCTGACTGTAAAGCTCATTGTATCTCAGACATGAATACATTGTCCCCCGAACTTTTAATTCACAGATTATGCGAAATTCATAGCTCGAAGATACAAAAGGAATAGTAATATTGGATGACCTTTCCGGTTGCATTTATTTGATTGTTTGGTATATAAATACATATCGCATCGACAACACATACTCTAGCTACATTTACTCTACGGTCAATATCCTGCTCTAATCTCATTAATAACTTCAACCGTGCACCGAACTTAACCCCTAACCCTAACTTAAAACCAGAGTTAAAAAACCTACCCCCTAATACAATCATGTATTAAATCTTTGACGAAATGAAGACTACATTAATAGTCGCTAAACATATATATCGGAAGGGCTCTTTGGTTACCGTTAGCCTCATCCTTCATCTTTGAAAAAGACACAAGATATCACGCTTCTAATAAAATAAACTTCACTTTACTTGATTTAAGCGTCAATGTTATCCATGGAATTGACCCATTACAAAAAAGCCTATTCCAATTATAGTTCTTTATCGTGATGATTTAAATGATAAGAGGGAGACGATGGCTCAGTAACTTGCTGGAGTGCTCTCTGTTTTGCATTATCTAGCAATATTATTCAACGAAAATGCTTATCGATCCTACACTCTTAATGCAAGTTTTTAAAATTGGATTTAAAAAAAAGCATTTTCATTTCAATGGCTCAATCATGACACCACTGTAAACCCCATGGCATTGGCATGATTTCGGCGCCAGGGCTGTTTTGGGGCATCTTGAGTAGACCCCACCCTTCCCTAACTTCTGGAAACGGCACTAGAACACTGATTTTTCTTCGTCCCATAATTTAGATTATCGCTAGCTTTATAAGCGGCTCAATCTTAACATGCTATAACTTAGACTAAGAGAAGTAACGTGATGTAAATGGACTATCACATCAAAACGAGCTCTAACTTACCCGACCAGTTTTTCTATAGTTCTTTTAGTTAAACTCCCAAGTGAGTAGGTTGAATATCATCGCAAGAATCCCAGTAAAGAAACATTTTCTTGTTTCAGATACCATGCTAGGCATTGTAAGAAGAAAAAAAATCATCATAATCGTATTAATTTTATTATTTTCTTTTACAGGTTGGGTGAAATCTTTCAACGTTTGCGCCTTCTTGTACCTCCTTTTACCGTGCTGCCTGATGACGTATGATTTTCAGAGCTACATGAAGTTCTACTGGGGCAAGAAAGAAGAATTTCTTCATCTGGTTGCATACTTTACGTACCTCTTTCAAATCATGGTCATACCTTTCTGGTGTTTCTACGCGCGAATTCTCTACCTGACCCTT